ACATCATTTTCGTTACACGATACCTTTTTACTCTGTTTAAAATTTTGAATCCCGTTTTATTGGTTGGACAGTACATCTGAATAATGTCGTAATGCGTCATGATGTAGTACATATTAATTTCTAAGTATATAATTTTAATATGGATAAGAAAAATACAATGAACATGATGAAAGGAAAGAAGAGACTTAATAGCATATAAAATTGGCTAGATTGTCATAATCTGCGTGGATAAAACTACTAAGATTTTTATAATACAGTATAGTAATTGGTAATAAAAGCAAATAATGAAGCTTTCGAAAATCCTTGTCGATAGCTTCATTCTACGTGTCGTGTGACTGTCATAACGAATGGACAATTAAATAACGCATTACAACTGATTTCAATGATGCGCTTTGTTTACCTTTAATTAAATGTTTTTCCTGCGCGCTATTAAAAGAAAAATTATAACACGATTATCTTACGTGCATATTTGTCATCTGGTTGCATTTGTTACATTATTCTAAATTATTGATTTGCCTTACCTAAATATTATGTCACTAAAAAAAAGGAAAAAGAAAGAGATTCTACTTACTAGATACGTCGACATAAAAAAAAAAACATAAAATTGTAATACTAATTTAATTGGAATCACGAAGTTAACGGTTAAAGGTTACTTTCTTATTAAATTTAATTAATTGCATATTTATTATATTCCAAATTGGGCAAAATTCAATCTTGTATAGATGGACTTACTGATTTTTTATTTGAATAACGTTTGGCAAGATAAAAAGACTTATTCGAATAATTTTATTAGTTAATTTTTGAATGCAACGAGAATCAAAGTATTTACGTGACTATTTAAATGTTTGGATAATAAGGCGAAGCAGTGACACAGTGATATTCTTTCAGTAATTAGTTAAAATTATTGGTAAATTTAGCAAGATAGGTAAAAATTTTATCTAGATGTTTGGTTTCTATTTCAAATCAAAAATCTATTTTGTTTGTCAATTAACCATTTAACCAACCCCTAAATATAGCTGAATATGGTTATTAACCATGTAAACCATTATTAACTTGTTTCAGATCGATTCGTAAAGCTGCCACTATTTTCCCGATTAGAATATATTTGTTTTCAAACTTTTTATTGCAATAAAAAAGTTCAAACCATTCATATTTCTTATTTATTTTTGTATATTCTAAAGATGAATTAAATAACCAACCAATAAGACTCGTGCATATTTTAGGTATGATTTTTAACAAATTTAAACTAAAATTTAAGCAGGGGGTTTGTTTATTTATTTAATGTTTAGGTATGTAATCTGCTTAATTTCTAAATTGAAATATTTTACACAGCAAAGAACCAATCAGATAATGCCAAGTCAGAAATGTTATTTTATACTTATTACCAGTAAACATTAATAATGCTTCAAATTCATGTCTTCAAACCACAATAATGAACAAATCATAATTTTGGATGCGGCCTGAAAAATTTATAGTAAGCTATATAGCGTAATCTTTTTCGGAATATTTCAGGTCTTCCGGACCAGTAGCATAATTTCAGCCGTAATTAAATTTTGAATATGGACCCATGGCTGATAACGTAGTGGTTACGCTCCAGGCCCAATCGCAAGGTCGCAACAATTGTGCCATTGAGGATTAACCACAAAACCTCCTGGAGATGCACGTGAAGGCAAATACGGTGAAAAACTAGGATACTCTAGGAAACGGATACTTCTGGTAAATTTCCGGTAAATTCCAGTTGAAATTAGGATATATCCGATGAAATTCTGGTATAATAAATTAGTTTTATGACTTTCCCTTCTAACTAAAATAGTATCGTGATTGTCAAAGCCCACTGTATGAAATAACATGCATACTGACACGAGGTTAACACGATAGCGGATATATATAGTAGGTTCCAGAAAGTGTATTAATCAAAATATAGGGACCTTAAGAAAAGGGTTAAAAAAAAAATTCGAATAAAAATTTACTACGTGTATGCATGAGTGATCGACGAAAAAAAAGAGATCAAATCGGGCTTAAAACTCCGTCCACTATAACTGATACTCGTCATAATAACATATTAAAACTAATTTTTAAATTATAGAGTTTGGAACCGGTTTTTTATTTTTTCATATGTAAAACAGGTTTTACTCGGTTTTAGCATGTGAAAAAATAAAAACTGATCCAAACTCTAGACTCGT